ACAAATTGAACATAAAAATGCATATTGAATGAATAGATATATATATGAATATAGGAGTCACTACTAGATCATTCTTTTGAATAAAAAAGTTAGCACAAAATGCTTGAATACATGCTTAGGAATGACTGAAACTGAATAATTGAAAAATAATGAATGAATGGTGGTTGTAATTGGGTGTTTCTGGATCTGACCTGATCCAGAAACCCCAATTACAACCTACTCATGACGTCTTCATTTTTTATTTTATTTCTGCAGATTTGCTGCGCTCGCCCAGAGAGGATCAGGTGGCAGGAGACTGGGGATGGTAACATTCCTCAAAATGCTATTGTAGCTGGTAACACAGCTAATGGAGAGCCTCTGTATGTTGGCAGGGCTAGGGAGCAAGGATCATTGACACCTGGAAAGGTAATTCATTTAACGATTTAAAACTAATTTGTAACTTTATTGGTTTGGAATTAAGTCTAAAATCTAAGATACAAAGCGTCATTAAAGTATCAAAGTGATGTTCATTATTGTTCATGTTTCCTACACTTATATTCAGAATAGATTTTTATTTCTGTTAGATTCACGTTACAATATATTCCAGCAATCTGAACTTTGATCATTTGAAATGTTAAAATTGAATTCTTCTGCAGGTACATCCCAGCCACAAAGTGCTGTACATCTCATTCGCCGGTAAAGAAGTACCACACAAAGTATATGAAATACTTTGCGCCGCATAAATATAGATAAATAATAAATGTTGTCTATCTATGTACACCGTAAATTTTGTGTAAGATTTTACAATATTATACATGTTTGTACTAGTTTTTAAAGAACAAGAAAAGTATGAAGTCTGCTTTGTCGAAAGACAATAAAATGGTCTGATATTTCGCTAGGAGCTCATTGGATAAATTTATATGGATACGAATGTTTAAAGATCTATGTAATGTAATGTAGGAGTCTCAAAAGTCTCAATTTCTTTTTGTTTTTTTTTTTTGTTATATTTTTATACTTTGTAATATTGTATTTGATTTGAGATAGATATTATTGTGATTGTACTTTTAATGCTGTTTGTTATTAGCATTTACTCTTTTCTTATGTGTACCGATGTACTTATTCCGAATTAGTGAGGAATAAATGGATGTTTCAATCAGTTATTTTCTTATTTCACTCCCTTAGAAATCATTTTGTAGGTAGGTATTCATAAGCCAAAGTCTATAAATACCAATATTACAAAGAAAATACATTTGATGGTATGTTTGTTTTGATAAGTTTCCTAAAACAACTAGTCTGATTTAGAACCGACTTCAATCAAGGAGGTGATCATTAACATAACATCACGCCTTTTATTCCCGAAGGGGTAGGCAGAGGTGCACATTATACCACTGTACAATGTAACACCCACTTTTCACTATTTATGTTATGAGTCCCATGTAATAGGGGGTAAGCCTATTGCCATATACCGCGCCCAATTCCAGACTCCGTGCTAATACTGAGATTTTTTTTTAAAAACCCAATAATACTTTGCCCGACCCGGGAATCGAACCCGAGACCCCTTGCCCGGCAGTCGCACTTGCGACCACTCGGCCAACGAGGCAGGAGGTTATCATTAACCATAAAATACGTTTACTTTGCAGGAAGTAACTTAGCCACCTTTATCCCAAGTCTGGGACTTACTTATGAGATTTCTGTTTCCTTAACTATAGTTCCTTAACCTTTTGACTGCCACGATAGATGACAAACGAAAACTGAGCAAATTAGTTCGGTCAGAATGACATATTTAGGAATTTATATTTGTTGTCTACAGCAGAGATCGTAGCGATTTAAAAGTTAAACAACTAGAAAAATTTAAAAATATTTCTTTATTTTCATGGAATAAGTACTCACACAATATTAATAACGATAACAACTACGTACAATTAACTTATTACTAAATACATTACAATATATCACTTCATTGGGTTTGCAAAACTTTGTCTTGCTACTTACTAAGGTATCTGAAAAATATAACTGCCAGCCTCACGATAAGTTTATTTTTAAAACGAAATAAAAATCGGTATGTAGATGAAGATGAAAACAGAAATATACAAATCCTCTTTCGTCTTTTTAATCACGATTCATAAATAGGTATTACAGAAAAATCGATTTTTAGTCTTCTAGGCTTATTTAAAAATGCTTTAACTTTTATCGATCAGTGAATCGTATAGCCTGATCGTTTTTGCAAAGCAATCATCTGCCATTAAAAGTTAATAAAACAATAATTTCTAAAAGGGGCTTGAAAGGGTTTGTACCATACACTATTACATCTAAGGTTTAAACGAAAAGAATCTGAAATGTCATCATTTTATATACGTCATTTTTTATAATAAGTCAGTTAAAATATAATTATGTTTTTTTTTATAAAAGAGATAAGATACCCGAAGTGATTGTCGTTAACCATTACAATTGAAATTTAGATTTACTACATCAAAACACAACATCAGGTAAATAATACAGTAGTCATAATAGTCATAGGTTAAACGTTTTTGACTGATCGTACGTAAAGGACCAGCCCACCGTATTTTTTATATCACTACCAAAAAAAACATCGCAATTATTTTTTCATTCTTCCATCGAAAGTTCTAACAGATGTTTCGAATTCAACTTTTACAATTTTTTGCTTTTTTTAAAACCTTATTATTAGGGGCAACGGGGACGGAGTTGTGCTTAGCGAGCTACCAGAACTCCGGCTTATGGCAGGAGTAGGAACGGAGTGGTTTTTTGTCAGTAAGAATCTAACACTCCCTCCTGCCTCACCCAAGGAGCAAAAATTTATTGGATGATGTTTCCCCTTCAAAAAAATGTACTACAGGAATAGCATGGCTTCACTTAATTAAAATTCTTGTCAGTAATCTTTAAACGTCATCGTAAAATTATTGCGGAAGAAGTCCTATTAAGTGATGAAGAAACTGATTTAGCATCTAAACAAATAGTCGTTATATTTATATAGGAACATTGAAATATTTTCTCTTCAGAATTTAGTCACTTGTACTAACATGTATAAGGGCGATAGAAACGAACAGTACATAAGCTTGAAAACCTAAGCAAGCTAGATGTAGCTAAATATATATATTTTTTTATATTATAATCATCACAGTCACAATTAAATCAGTTTTTACAAACAACATCACGTGTAACATGTTTTATGAATAGTTCTGGGAATTCCTAACATGTGAACCTCAAAGGAAAGCAAATAATATTTTCGAGTCATGCATTGAATACATTCCTAAGACTAATCTGCCATTTCCTTTTTTACTTAATCTCCCACTTGATAATTTCTATTAAGTTTCATTATATTTATAATTTTATTTACACCCATAACGGCATCTATCTTATCTTAGTGTTGTACCTTACTATTGTTTACAATACTTTCAATAAATCCCATTTCTATTTGTGATTGTAGAACAGTTTCTTCTTTTTCGTCTGTCGTATTGCCAATTTCTTTTTTCTCAGTTTCATCAGTCTCGTAGGCTTTGTTTTCTATGCCAACCTTCTCTGCATCAGCTCTAAGTTTAGCTTCATTATCGAGGTTTGCTTGAATGTGTTTTTTGTTTGCCAGGTACAACCACCTGCAATATTTGACATCGAAAATTAAAACCGTTCATATTTAGACTATTTACGAAGAAATATTAACTAAAATGTTGTATTGTGCTCAAGTCTAATATTCAACCTCGTTAAGTGCATCAAACCTCATAGATAATTTACTTGATCTTAAAAATTGTTAGTCAGTAGGCTCAAAAGTCCCTATTACAATGAAATAAACGATACCAACTAATAAAAGAGGTTTTTCTGTGTAAGTATATTTAATACTTACAAAAATATAAGAACAGCTGGCATAGTAAGTGCTCCACCAAGAAGGAAGAATGCTCCTGGGAAGGTCTTGATGGTACTCGTATATACTGTAGTATACATGGGAGCGTAGATTAAGGGCATCATTGCTTCAGCTACACCGTAGAAGGAATTCACCTTACCTGTAAAAAATTAAATAATGACTTTTTAGATGATGAATTCTAATAAGTTGATCAAAATTTACTCTATTTACATTATGCTATGTCGAGGAAAAAACAGCATCTAAGTACCAATTCTAAAAATGTATCAGTTTCGTTTGTAACATAAAATTCCAAATAAAACCTCCGAACAACAATAAAAAAGCTATAGATCATGTTTGTATTACGCGCAAAGTCGCAAGCGCCAGCGGCGCGTTAACGGCAGTTGATTGGTTGGTTCGATAAAAGTCTTAGTAGTTTTAGAGATATCTGATAGATGGCGGTACTTGTACTAATGCTTACCCAGTTCATCTCTGTCCACCAATTTGGAGACCATTGACCTCATCGCTATGAATGACGTTCCGTTAAATACTTCTATCAATGGAGCTGTAAATAAAAAACGATATTTAATATATATTATTCCAATTATTTAACCAAAAAACGAAAAATAATAAATATTTGTTATAAATTTATTCAAATATAAAAATGTAAGTCATAAATCTACAAACACAAAAAGTTTCAGTACGAATTTTTTGGTCTAGGTTTGTAGGAAAAAATAGATAATGATATAGAGTATTTATACCTATATAAATATGCCAGGTTTTTGTAGCGAAAGCGTACATAATGCCTGCCAGAATCTTACTCGTACATGAAATAACACCGATTATGGCGTCATCAAACTTCAGTAAGTGACTAAATACACCGACCGAAAATAAAGTACCTGAAACACGTCATAATAAAATTATTAGGACTAACAAAAAAAACATAAAACCAGTGATTCAAAAATACAGATGAAAAATAAACAAAATTCTGTCGTTTTACAAAAAATACGAAAAGAAACTACCGAATACTGCCACGGTGGTCGCAAGTGCGACTGAATATTTCCCCACTAGTAGTACGGAGTTGTGCCCAGTACATGACAATAGGCTCACCGCTCACCCCCTATTACATAGGACTCATAACATAAACAGTGAAAAATGGGTGTAACATTGTACTTATAGTGGCATTAAGTGCCGTAATGTGCACCTTTGCCTACCACGTTAGGCATAAAAGACGTGATGTTATGTTATGTTACCGAATACCTACATAATTTCTTTTTATTTTACTAAATGAAATTGTTCGAACACGTTATAAATTCCTTGACATAATAATTCAAAGCGTAAAAGTATGTCTATAAAACCAGATACGGATTACGATTTGTAATTAATTTTATTTTACAATATTTAATATTTCGTAACTTTATAGCTTTATTCAATTCAATTAACATTTACAATACAGAATTGTCCTTTGCAAATTTTATGACTTGAAATCTACGAAAAGTTATAAAAAAAAATTAAAATAATCCTTACCTACTAATGAAGTACACATGGAGTAAGTAGAGAACATGCTGAAATCCACCTCGTTCCAGTTGAACCTGTACCTCGTGAAGAGATACATTACTGACATTTCACCTGAAAATATGAAAAATATTTATTTAGAAGTTTTTCTATTAAAATGATAATAGGTAGGGGTAGGTGCGTTGTGTTTTAATTTGTCTCGTAGAAGATTTGATTTCCACTTGTACTAGAAAATAGGGTAGATGCCTAATTTTTATTTTAATGTCCGTCTGGTAGATTATTTTAAATCATTAGACACGTATCTTTTATTTTCTTACAGAAACGAATACATACGTCGATATATTGATTTGAAATGTCGCGTGACGTCATTTCTATGTACATTTTATATGTAGAAATTACGTTTTAGCCCCCACTCCTAAACTTTGATTCGATTTATTTATGTAATTATTGTTTTAGTACACGACAAAGTAAAAAATACGTGTCTAATATTTTTTCATTACCTAACTTACGGACTTTACATTTTTAATTTTCATACCCTGTCATCATCCCAATTGTTTAAAAATCTATGAAAGCAGTTTAAATTGTTTTTCAAAACAAAGTCAATGAAGTTGTGTGTTTAGACTTTTACAGATTTTCCAGTTCTCTTTCCGCATATATGATTGTCGTGAATCACCTTATATACGTAAATATAGATGTAAGATCAATAAAATAATATGTAGAATTATCAGTACCTATTGTTTCAGCAACGTAATTAAAATAATAATAAAATACATAGCAACTACCGCCGCGTTTTCTTTTTTTGTAGTTAATCTGCTACCTCTGATTGTTGTTAAGGAAAAAATATTTCTATTTATGTAACAATACGAGACGGAACTCAAATTCGAATAAAAAATATATTTATTACTGCTAACATTGTTATCGATAAATAATTAGACGAGTTAGGATAAGTTAAATTGTACGCGTCCAACTACCAGTTCGTGTTCATTTTATGGATTACATTGTGTATGTGGACGCGAACAGGCGGACTCACCCTAATTATGGGCGTATAGATCTACGTATGCACGGTTGCGATGTCATGGTGGGCCACAGGTTTAAGACGCCCGCTTCTCATGCATAAGAATGCGGGCCCGAAACCTACCAAGAGCAAGGATCAATGTGACGTTTTCCGAATTATATGTACTTTCTACGTTTATTTAGACACCACTGACAAACGTTGAAGGAAAACATCGTGAGCTACCCTGGGCTTTTAATTTATAATTATAAGTTTGAAATCGTCAACCCACATTGAGCAAGCGTGGTGATCAAACCTTCTCCGTGTGAGAAGAGGCTTTTGGTCAGCAGTGGCTACATTATAGGCTGTTGATGATGATGATGATGCACGGTTACGCATTGAGTTATACAATCCAGTTTATCATTATGGTCTTTCTTTTCTGATTTTTCTGTACATTTAACGGTCTGTTTATACTGTTATTGGGAAGCTTGAAGTGTAGCCGTACATAACTATGTATGTCTAAATATATTGGAAACAAGTTTTTACAAAACTGCTACCATAACTGCTACCACCTTACCAACGACAGCTTTTCTTTATTTTCTTTACTAAAAAAAAAAACGATACACTGAGGAACAACGTCAGATTACCGTCATTAGCATTAGAAAGAGGGGAGTAACATCTTTTAACTTTTATATTTTAAGTGTAAACTACTATTAAGAAAGAGGCTTCGGTTCAGCAATGGACATGGAGATAGTAATGAACATAAATTATGTAAGTATTTATACCATGCTATTTATACATTCATTACATAGACCTTGCTCACTAATTGCCATACCAAGAAAACACGTAAATAGGTACCTACTACATGTTATATTTAGCAAAAATTTCAAGAACAACCCAAAACAATCATATAACATCCCTTTGTTGTGTAGCAATTTTTCGTTGAAAACTCGCCTATTATGAAGGATGGAAGGTTCCATGGAAATCTACGGCTTTTCTATTTTTGAAACACAAGGCGTGGGCACTCTTGCGCATGCGTCGCGCAGACAGCAACAGATCGAACACGGAGTAGACTAAACTGCATTACGTGTACCTGGATATGAATAGTTTATAACATAGGGCTGAAAATAGGTACATAGAATAACATCACGGATGGTTACTTTCCTTTTATGTACTTTTAGTACTAAAATTCTTATTTTGTTGATCTATATTGTGGTAGACACGTAGGTATTTTTTAGAGTTTTTATTCCCCGAAAGGGTAGATAAGTACCTAGGTAGTCATGTAAATGAATTTAATTTTGTCATAGAGAGAAAGTGTAGTATCGTCATGTTGCTCAACTCTGCGTTATTTTTAAGATTTTTGTTTCAAACACAATAATACCTTGATTACTACTAAACAAACTTGAGCCCCGTTCTTCCAAAAATAAGTTATAAATAAACATTCGCCTAGCAAAGTAAACCTGATTCTGCCTACAAGGACCTATTACTATATATAGGACAAAGACATTACGACTGCCATACTTACACCCCGTCAGTTTCTTCAATGATAATTCGCTCATAAGAATCCGTATCGGACTTCATACTCGAGACGCACTTATGACCAATCAGATAAAAGAATGAAGTAATACAAAAAAAACATAAAATGGTCATATAATATGTAACTTTAATGCCTTAGTATTACGTCGCATATTACGTAACTGAATTCTTGATGGATTTCACAATAAATTGCGAATTTAATCAACGGAGATTAATTAAATGTGACTTTGATATTGGCTGAGAAACATTTGCTACGCACATTGCAATACTATACGGAATTGTGTTAATTCATTTTGTTATGTAGTACCTATATCAATTTTGTAATTGCATTTGTAATTGCCTGTTAGGTTTAATACCTCAATACATTTTGTATTTTATTCTTTATTTCAGTACTTGGGACAAAAAATATTTTTAAAGTAAATATTTCAGTCGAGCATCCTTATTTGAGAAGTCCTTAGTTTGAGCCGGTTAGCCGAAGTATAACAATTGAAGTCATTTAAGTTTCTAGAAAAAAACTCTCAGCAGCAAGGAGTCTTGTATATGACAATAGACCTTACAGTCTCTACACATTATGACCCCTTAGGTATTTTTTTTTTGTTTTTTAAGTGGGGAAAATCATCGAATGACTGCTCCCGCCTGGGTGAGGCGGATGGGAGTGTCAGACTCTTACTGACTAAAAACCACCCCGTTCCTTCTCCTGCACGTCGAGTCGGAGCCCCAGTTACCCGTTAGGTTCTCCGCGACTCCGAATCGGCATCGGCCGTATTGGGCCCCATCTGTGGTGGTCTGATGGCTCTTTGAGGCGCGCGCGGAACGCGACGCGCCGTACGCTCGGGTCTGTTTCTGGTTGGACGGGGAGCCACCCATGCTCGCCGTCCGGAGGGCCGCGCTTACGGTGGCCGGAGATCGTCTCGCGATCCCCGACGCCCGGTGTGTCCTTCGCGATGGCTGGGTTGCGAGGAGGCAACGCTTCGCTGCCTCACGCGTCCCGCTTCGCAAAAGGAGGAGACGGCATCCCAGTCCCCCTCGCTCCGCATCATACCCCTTAGGTATACCTAAGACTTATTCAACGACGTTAATGTTATCAAAAATACAAGCCTTAAAATTGGGTTCAAAAAACTTTCTTCCTGAATCCTATAGGTACATTTAAAAACATTAAAAATCTAACATAACATCACGCCTTTAACCCCCAAAGGGATAGACAGCGGTCCATATTACAGCACTTAATACCACTGTACAATGTAACACCCACTTTTCACTATTTATGTTATGAGTCCCGTGTACTAAGGGGGACGAGTTGCCGGGGCTCCGGCTCGAAAAGCAGGAGTAGGAACGGGGTGGTTTTTAGTCAGTAAGAGTCTGAGACTCCCTCTTGCCTAACCCAAGGCGGGAGAAGTCATAGGATGATTTTTTCCCCTCAAAAAAGAGGGGGTGACTTCAAAATGTGTAGCGTAGTTTTAAAGATCTATCCCGTATCAATCTCTTTGGTTTCTAAGGTAAACTCATACGTTTACCACAGCAATATTTTCCTTTAAAACTGCATTGGCCAGACCTTAATACATATTGTAGATGCAATTAGGTACTGCGAAACTGTTGGACATTACCTAACCAATTACGACACACCTATACGTCCTCTAACACTTGTGATTTACAACATTCTTGACACTGTTTTTTAGATAATACTAGCTGCTGCGACTACGTACGCGCAATCCCACTTTTTCCCGTTCCCGTTTGTGATTTTTGGTGAAAAGTAAAAAAAAGTATTGGTTAAAAAGTAGTCCGTCTCCTGATTCTTTACGACCTCCCTTCCATTTTTCATCGATTTAGCTGTTCTTGAGTAATAAATGATGGAACTAACACGACTTTCCTTTATATGTACATACATACATATATATAATTATGTTATAATTTATCTTTGAAAACTAGACTGCCTCGTTGGCCGAGTGGTCACAAGTGCGACTGCCGGGCAAGGGGATCTGAGGTCCATTCCCGGGTCGAGCAAAGTATTACTGGATTTTTAAATACTCTCAGTAGTAGCACAGAGTTTGGAATTGTGTCCGGTATATGGCAATAGGCTCACCTCCTATTACATGGGACTCATAAAATAAATAGTGAAAAGTGAGTGTTACTTTGTACAGTGGTATACATAATATGCACCTCTGCTTACCCCTTCGGAGATGATGTTATGTTATGTTATAATTGATCAACATTTGGAAGCTCGATCTAAATGTTCTGGATTTCCTTATCATCAATGGAAGTTCCAATGGCACCAATGGCCTGATCTGGGGCTACCTGTTGAACGCTGTTGTCTATCCAAATGGAAGAAGAAAAGTGTATTAAAAGAGAATTCGGAACATTTCCAATAAACAATTGTGTTGAAACCTCCTTCGTACAATTTGTACAAAGTGGATGATTTTGTGTTTTCACTGGTTTATTATACTCTTATTTAAATTCAAGTATGTATGTTTCCTCAAATGAAATGTTATTTAAATTTTGATTGGTTATTAATCTTAATTATCGAACTTCGTATTGAATTATAGTATCTAACTCGTAGCTGTGTCAGTCGCTACTAATAACTAATAGTCGTGACCATAAAGAAAAGCTTCCTGCCGAGAGCAGTGAGATCAAAAATTCAACTAAGTTTCCTAATATGGTGACTATACCTCTAAATTCTTCTATCAAAATAAAAAAAAACATCTGAATATCTGATAAACCGAATTAGTTAATGCAGAAACAAATAAAAATATTAAATACTAGCTTCTGCCAGCGGCTTCGCCCGCAATCCCAGGAGGAAAATGCCAATGTATTACTTCAGACCATACTCTACCTCTGTTCCGAATTTCATTCCGGTCCCTTCGGTCGTTTTAATATGACTGAGTAACAAACATACACAAACACATAAGCTCACATATTTTCACATTTATAATATCGAGTCAAGCTATTTTCATCCATCGTCCCTACAGTTACAGCGTTAAGTCTATGGATGAGTATTGTAAACGTAAGATTTAACAAATTTAAGCAGAAAGCTCCGAACTGCTAAGCTATCGGGAGTTACACGTGTTATTGTAAGTCAACCATAAAAGATAGACATGTGCTGTTGTGGGATATTATTTAGATAATTTTATGTAAAACATTTCCGTCATACATGATTTCTATGTAGTTTTAACTATTAAGTCTGTACACGCGACGGAAGCTTAAAAAATGGAGTAACTTCTCCCGTTTTCCCAATATTTCCCTTCACTGCTCTGCTCCTATTGATCGTAGCGTAATGAAAAGTATACTATAACCTGCCCAAGAGTATGAAGAAAAATTGTGCCAAATTTCGTTAAAATCCGTCGAGTAGTTTTTGTTTCCATAACGAACATACAGACAGACAGACAGACAGACAAAAATTTTACTGATTGCATTTTTGGCATCAGTAGCGATCCCTAACCACCCCTTGATAGTTATTTTTTAAATATACTTTATGTACAGAATTGACCTCTCTACAGATTTATTATAAGTATAGATAATTCATTAGATTTATAAGCATATTATTATCAGGTCCGATGGGACTGACATGTACATTTGTATAAAAGTCCCTAAATAAAATAAAGAAAAAAAACCCAATGCTATCTTTCTGACAGCAGCTTAGGAAATAAAAGAGCGAAGGAAAACTAAAACCTCACGTATTTCACTTCAAAGTGCAGTCTGAATGGTAATATATTATGGCCTGAGTCAGCGTCACTTGCACCATGGAAAGCGAAACTAAGGGAAAGTAGTGGCGTAACTAACTCGCAACCGCGATGGAAACGTCAGTTCATTGCCAAGGGCGTGCAGTATGGACAAGATAATGCCAAGCAAATCCGGTCCCAAGATATATAGCTGAAGGTACTTTCGCTGATCGCTAGATAAGTTCGCTAAGCTTAGATATAGAAAGGGATAGACCTTCCTATCATGATCAAACACGTGTCTGGATAATGAATTGTGTTTTACAGAATAACGAATAGGTACAATTGCGGACCCTGCATTATTGTTATTGTTGTTCGTTATTATAATAGTTGAAAGAATTCAGTATCCTATTTTTGCAATATGCTGTCTGACAATGAAATGCAAGATTGTATAATGCTCTTCAGCGGTAATTGCAGTACTCGACCAATTCAGGATACCTTGTTGTTGTTCTAATGTATGAAGATTAGATAATGTACCTACCATTCATTTCAAGTTCAGTTTTTCCTTAATAAGGTATGGTTCCATACTATTATAAGTCCGTTTCAAGAAAAAACATTTGCACCTTAAACTTTATCTTGAAAATCCTTGAAAAGTCATCTTGTCTTCAAATATACATGCAAATTGATTAAACCTACAATTTATCATAATTCAGGTCAATGTTAAAAACATGATTTCGAAACCAATTAATTAAATTGCAATCTATAACGGATTGAATGATAAAGATACAAGTGGCGATAAAATGAAGACAAGATGCTTCGCCCTGTTGTGATTTCATCGATCGAAAGTTCTAGGGCTCAGGGCATTGCCGGTGTACAGACGACCTACCTTTCAACCCCCGCTACCCCTTGACAACCCTCCAAAGTCCCGATCAATAAACTGCATCCAACTAACGTGATTGGTCGACCTAAATGATAACAGCCAATCAAAATCCTTATTTATAACGGATTAAATTGGATGCGCGCTCGAACACCGCGAGTGTATTTCATTAAATGTCGCTGTGAGTTAGTTTTTTTTTTTTTTTTTTTTTTT